CGGATAGAAGGACATTGAAAGGCAGCCAGACAACGATTTTTTAATTGTTGGTCGGCTCCAAAAAAAGGAAAAATCCTGACCAAACGGAGGTACCCCATTGCTAAATTAGCTGTTTCTCAAAGTGCGGCGCGTGGGTGCGACCTACTGTTGGAGAATAGAGACGAGTGGGCCACGACGAACAGGTTTTGTGCCCATCTTTTTAATTCCTTTATAAATTGACCATACACTCAAAACAAAACAAAGACACATTTAAATGTAAGCCTTACTTAACCTTTTCACACGTAAGTTTAAGTTTTTCAAGGCGACCGTTATTGATCGTATAGTAGCATTTTATGGTTCCCATGGAGACGCGTCCTTCATTGCTTGTCAGCCACAACAGCTGAATGACTGATGATCTGCTTTTATTTTTTTATTTTTTTTATTCAGAATTTCACAATTTGCTAGCTATATTAGGATCTGATATTCCGATTGTCAAATATTTGCAAGTGGATGTGTTTTGTTGTTAAAACACCTTTGCTGTAGGCTATGCGCAACGTATTTAGGTATACGTACATTAGGAATTTGCCACCTTCAGCTCAATTTGATTTTATTTATTATTATTATTATTTTATATTTTTGTTCTTTTTGCATGGAGTTTGCAAAGTGACAAAATGAATCATAGCACAACTAACGTTAGTCCATACTTGTATTTTCTCAGTTTCTGAATTTTATGTTATTAGAGGCTTTATAAATGCAAACACAATTTTTCTATCTACTTTTGAGTCGTATTTCGTGCAAAGTGATAATATAATTATAATATAGAGTTCAGGGGCCTCATGTATAAACGTTGCGTACGCACAAAATGGCCATAGAAATATGCGTACGCATTTTTCCACGCGCATATCGGGATTTATAAAAAATAAAATTGGCGTAAATACGTGCGCACCGTAAGGATGCTCTTGACCGTGCGTACGCACTCTTTTAGAAGATTATGGGTTTTGGCGACACCGATGGTGAGCTGGAGTGAAATGTCTTTTTGCTTACTATTAGACAGAGAATCTAAAGAAAATTATACATCTACAGAAAGATAATACAAATATAATTTCACAAACCTATCATCACTTGAAGCAAACATCCATCCCTTCTTAAATGACCGTGCCAGCACGCGCGTTGGGCCGTTTGGTGAAACTGACGCACATATAGCCTATAATCTAACGGCAGATGGAGTAAAACCGTAAATCTTCATTATGAGTCCAAATCATAAATACAGTCCATATTCAAATAACAGTTTAAATAAATAAGAGAATGGTTTAAACTATGCTTTACTTCTGATATAAACATTTACATTAAATATGCCATTCTCATTAATGGAAATCATTACTGAGAAGTTACAATATATATATATATACTGTATATATATATATATATATATATATATATATATATATATTCAATAAATAGAAATAGACCTATTTGTTGTGGATGCATTGCTTTTGAACACTTTTCTTCTGGCATGCTGTGTTTTAATGTTTTAACTAGAGATAATTGCTAATCATGATAATAGCAGATTGTCTGAGAAAATTGTTTCGTGCAAATAATGCACAACCATGTGTTTCCATTAAAATATAAATCAATTAAAAATACTATTTGGCCAGTGGAAAACATTGAGAAAAACTTTCTCTGAAATGTATTTAACACTATTTGATTTATTCATTTAAAAACAAGGCAAGGATATAGGCTACTAAAAAAAATGTTTGTAATAATGTGACGGCACATCCGCATTTCATATTTTCCTAACGTCTTGTACCGTTAAACTTGGTATCACGTGGATTAATAATCATATGCAAATGATATGCAGATGATGCTATGCATATTTAAACTAGGCGTTGTAATCTCCATATATGGTTATTTCGGGGAGGAGACGCACGTGACAACAGAAGAGACAACAGAAAAATCTGAACAGGTTGAAAAATATGACCAAAACAGAATATAAAGATATAAACGAACCACCTGAAGAGAATAATTTCATCTTTTCTGTACTTATAAACACTCCAAATATACAACAAAATGCATTTAAGGGCTAAAAAGGTGGATTTTGCATTCAACCAGGGGTTTGCGACTTCTTCTGTCCGTCATCTTGTAATACTGGAATGCTGTGACATTAATTAAAACAATGTTCTGTCCTAATATTTTTCATAATGAGTTTCAAGTGTGTAAAGTTTTATTGTGAAATTTTTTATCAGCATAATGTTTGTATAGTAAACGTGTAATATATTCACAAAGTACAATTCTGTGTAAGTATTGACAATGTACTATTGAAAATGTGAATATACTGTATTTATTGACCAAAAAAGTTCTTTTTTCACCTGGAAAGTGTGTTGAGTAGTCCCTTATTTCAAGATCATTGAAAAGGTTGTCTTCAATCAGCTGAACAAATTTTTAAGCTCAAATGCATATTTTGACAATTTTCAATCTGGTTTCCGATTGCATCACAGCACGGAGACAGCGCTCATAAAGATAACAAACAATATTCGCTTAAATACTGATACAGGCAAATTATCCGTGTTGGTACTACTCGACCTCAGTGCTGCATTTGACACTGTTGATCATGACATACTTCTTGACAGGCTGGAAAACTGTGTGGGGCTTTCTGGGATAGTCCTAAAATGGTTCAGGTCATACTTAGAAGGGAGAGGTTATTTTGTGAGTATGGGAGAACATAAGTCTGAGTGGACATCCATGACTTGCGGAGTCCCTCAGGGCTCGATTCTTGCGCCACTCCTATTCAACCTGTATATGCTCCCAATGAGCCAAATAATGAAAAAGAACCAAATCGCTTACCACAGCTATGCAGACGACACACAGCTCTACTTAGCCCTATCGCCTAACGACTACAGCCCCATTGACTCCCTGTGCCAATGCATTGATGAAGTAAACGGTTGGATGTTTAAACCGTAAATCTTGGTTGGTTGACACACTTTTCACTCTCTGTCATATTTCTCAGCCATGCTATATGTTAAAATAGTCTAACCAGTAACAACTGAAAGGTTAAGATCTCAGCTACTCAACAGATATATTTAATGTTAATAAATTATTCCTAAAAATGTCTTATTCATCATTAAAGTGATGTTGTGCACCTGTGCCAACCAGCCCCACTATGGGGGTTAGTTGGCACATGCAATGGGGTTGGTTGGCACAGATGCAATAGTTACAAAGAATGAGGTGACAAATATAAAAAGAACTTGACCATTTAATTCAAACCAGATGCAGAATAACATTCAACAGCAAAGCCCTCTAAATGGTCTCTCTCAGTCTAGTTCTGTAGCCTACACCAGACCCAACAATGCAGAAGAGCTGAAGGCCACTATCAGAGCAACCGGGGCTCTCATAACACCTGTGCAGTGCCACAGACTGATTGACTCCACGCCACATTGCTGCAGTAATTCAGGCAAAAGGAGCCCCAACTAAGTATTGAGTGCTGTACATGCTGAACCTTTTCATGTTGATACTTTTCAGTTGGCCAACATTTCTAAATATCTTCTTCTTTTTTTTTTTTTTTGTATTGGTCTCAATAATATTCTAATTTTCTGGGATACTGAATTTGGGATTGTCATGAGTTGTCAGTTTTAATCATCACAATTAAAGGAAATAAAAATTGAAATATATCAGTCTGTGTGTAGCCTAATGAATGAATATAATATCCAAGTTTCACTTTTTGAATGGAATTACTGAAATAAATCAACTTTTTGATGATATTCTAATTATATGACCACCCCATATATTTATAAATATACAACATATAATAGTATTATTATAATATTTATATATTTATATATATTTATATGTATATATGTTATGTTTTAACATGTAAAATGCATAAATTAATACATTTATAACCAATTGGCTATAATGACATATGTGCCAACCAACCCCCAAATCAGTGTGTCAACCAACCCCCCGCCAGCTAAGAGTCAGCCAAAGTAGCGCATTTAAAAATAAAATTGACTTTAATCAAACCACGGATCCGTGATAAGTTTTCTGATCCGTTTCACCACTAGTTTAGTAGCACTGATCACTTTGAGGGGGGGATAAATTTATTCCCCCCCCCGGGATAAAAAATAATTAAGCAGAGGCAGGGACACACTGACCAGAAAGGGGGAAATCCCACGCACCCCCGCCCCCGCACGAAATACGTTTTCCCAACACTTCCTACTACAGCTGAGGAAAATGAGCGTTGAACAGGTGTGTTTCTGTCTTACTTTATTAACCTTATTGAGGTTTTCTTTTGCAAAATGTTTATTATTTCTTGACAAAAATCCATATTACCGCTATTAGCATTTCACTCTCTCTAGGATAGGGGAATCTAAGCTGAAATCTATATCATATGTTGCTTTAAAAAAAATTATATTAATAATCTACATAAGACGCGTGTGAAATTACTAAATTAGTGATTATGTTCACTGAACGAATCTATTACTTTCGTTCTCCATACATTAATGAGACCATTTAATTTAATTGAAAGGAGGGTTTCATTTGTCTGTCCAAAATAATAATTTGGGCAATACATCACAGGGAAGAAACAACTGTATATTGTTTGTTTTGTTCATTCATTATTTTATTACATTAACAGTTATGCTGACTGAATGCAAAAGTCATGATGTCATGTTGGCGGTCTCAAGAGTAAATGCAGCTTTTTGATATAAAGTTTTTATAAAGTGTTCCTTAATATGCATTAAAACAGAAAATAATCTTGTGAAAGTGCAACAGAGACACAGTTTAAACTCTTTTTGGATTTTTGTTTAATTGCTAATAATAATTGCTGAATTTTTTTGTTCCCATAGCAAGAAATGAATATATTAACTATTAAAAAAAAAAAACAGTTAAAAAGTTAGCATCTAATGTTGATCAATTCAAACAAAGCCAAACTGCCTATAGGTAACGCCTCATTTTTAGAGCAGTGTGGCCAGTTTAACAGGAGGTTGGTCAATTTACTTCACTCGCATATATTCTCACTTCGTGTGAATCACTCACAAGCGGACATAAAATTATTCTAAAGAGCAACAGACTTAGCCATGGTCACACCATCCAAAAATGAATCAAATCCACCAGGTAATCAGTAGTTTATGTCATGGGTCAAAATGGTTTCATGTTTTGAAGGATTTGGAAATTACAGTTTTTCTGTGTATCTTCAGACTGCAGGTTAAGAAAATATACGTTACTACTGGCATGTTTTCTTCTGACATCAACCTGGCTGGTAAGTTCAGTAGAAAATTTATACATAAAAAATCAGACTTCAAAAATAAATAAGCATTTTCTCCCTGAAAATGCTTATTTATTTTTGTAAGGGCAAAGGGGCTGAGTGCATTCAACTGAGCTGAGCATTTTAAATATCAATTCAAATCATAAATCTGAATTTGGGTATATGATATTAGCAAACAAAATGCAGAATTCTAATTGAAGACAGTAGAAAATTGTGCAACTGGTGTAAATGTATAGTTTAACAGGTTAAAACTAAATGCATAGTTTTTTGTTTGACATTTCTTTTAATGAAGTTGTCTGAACACATTGTGAAGGACTTGTTCTGACTATTGAATTTAGTTTAGAGAATTATGGCTGAAAAACAAACACTAATAAGTAATAATAGGTTAAATATAAAATCCTCTTTCTGCGAACTCAAATTGCAATATATTAATATATCAATAATATTTCAATAAATAATTTCATTATTATGGTGTAATTCATATAGACACGACTTATCTTTCTTCCTGTATGGTCTCATAATCGAAAAACCTGTGATTTACTAATAGTTCATTATCTGTTAGTTGAATGAACTTGTCAAAAAAGTCATTTCAACATTTTAATTTCTGAACAAAAGTTTAAGGAGAAAACCTTCTACATGTTTTGCGTGGTGATGATATTCAACATTCTTTGCATGTGAGTCAACTCAGCAACAGCAACACTCCACAAAGCAGCTTTTGATAACACAAGCATTTACAAATGCTACACAATATGAAAAGGATTTGTTTTTTTTAGTTTTATGCAAGTTACATTTTACTTTTAAGTTGGCAATACAGTTTGTCCATACCAAACACCATGTTCAAGCATAAAGGGTGGCCACCAGTACACATGGCACCATGACACCCTGGGTCGTAGGTCGATGATCGACTTTGTGGTCGTTTCATCTGACCTGCAACCGGATGTCTTGGACACTTGGGTGAAGAGAGGGGCGGAGTTGCCTGGTGGTGAGTTTGATCCAATGGTGGGGGAGGAAGCTGGACAGACTCGGCAGACCCAAGCGTACTGTTAGGGTTTGCTGGGAACGTTTGGCTGAGTCTCCTGTCAGAGAGATCTTCAACTCCCACCTCTGGCGGAGCCACGACTGGATCCCGTGGGAGGCTGGAGATATTGAGTCTAAGTGGACCATGTTCTCCACCTCCATTGTCCTCCATGGAGCTGTGGCCGTAAGGTCTCCGGTGCCTGTCGAGGCGGCAATCCCCAAACCCGGTGGTGGACACCGGAAGTAAAGGATGCCGCCAAGCTAAAGAAGGAGTCCTATCAGGCCTGGTTGGCTTGTGGGACTCCTGAGGCAGCTGACAGGTACCGGCAGGCCAAGCGGACTGCAGCCCGGCGGGTTGTGGAGGCAAAAGCTCGGGCCTAGGAGGAGTTCGGTGAGGCCATGGAGAAGGACTGTCAGCTGGCCTCGAAGAGATTCTGGTAAACTATCTGGCGCCTCAGGAGAGGGAAACAATGTCCTACCAATGCTGTTTACAGTGGAGGTGGGCGGCTGTTGACCTCAACTGGGGATGTCATCGGAGGGTGGAAAGAATATCTCCTCAATAGTCGCCGTCACGTCTTCTATTGAGGAAGAAGAGGCTGAGGGCTCAGAGGTGGACTCGTCCATCACCCTAGCTGAGGTCATTATTTTTATGGATAGAATTTCTAGGCGCAGCCAGGGGCCGGAGGGTGTCAGGTTTGGGGACCACACGATTTCGTCTCTGCTCTTTGCGGATGATGTTGTCGTGTTGGCCCCTTCAGACCAGGACCTTCAGCATGCACTGGGAAGGTTTGCAGCCGAGTGTGAAGCGGCTGAGATGAAAATCAGCACCTCCAAATCCGAGGCCATGGTCCTCAGTCGGAAAAGAGTAGCTTGCACTCTTCAGGTTGGTGGAGAGATTCTTCCTAGAGTGGAGGAGTTTAAATATCTTGGGGTTTTGTTCACGAGTGAGGGAGGGATGGAACGGGAGATTGACAGACGGATCGGTGCAGCTTCTGCAGCAATGCGGTCGATGTACCGGTCTGTTGTGGTAAAGAAGGAGCTGAGCCGCAAGGCAAAGCTCCCGATTTATCGGTCAATCTATGTTCCTACTCTCACCTATGGTCATGAGCTTTGGGTTTTAAGGACAAGATCCTGGATACAGGCAGCGAAAATGAGCTTTCTCCACAGGGTGGCTGGGCAATCCCTTAGAGATAGGGTGAGAAGCTCTGTCACTCGGGAGGAGCTCAGTGTAGAGCTGCTGCTCCTCCACATCAAGAGGGGTCAGCTGAGATAGCTCGGGCATCTGTTCCGGATGCCTCCTGGACGCCTTCCCGGGGAGGTGTTCCGGGCACGTCCCACTGGGAGGAGACCCACGGAGAAGACCTAGGACACGCTGGAGAGACTATGTCTCCTGGCTGGCTTGGGAACACCTCGGTGCCCACCCAGAAGAGCTGGAGGAAGTGTCTAGGGAGAGGGAAGTCTGGGCATCAATGCTTAGACTGCTGCCCCCGTGACCACGGCCCTGGATAAGCGGAAGAAGATGGATGGATGGATGGATGGATGGATTGATGGACGGATGGATGGAAGATGGCAATATTTACAAAATTTCATTTTGTTAACAAAAATAACTATTTACTACGTTTTCAAATATTTAATAAGCATTAAAAGCTATCTGTGTTTTTCCTTATTTTAGAATCACAAAGATAGGATTATGCACTCATTCATTAGAAAATATACATACATATTTACAGTATAAGCCTTCCCGGTGACATGATAAAGAAATAAAAGAAAAATAATCATTCAATAATCGTTATCAAGGTAATTTGTTCGATTAATCGTGTTTATGATTTTAGCCAAAATCGTCCAGCCCTAATTTATGTGTGCATTAAAAGTACCATTTCGGCAATGAGAACATTTCTTAGCCAAATAAAGATAAAGATGTGTTCTGGCGACTGCCGTGTTTATTGAACTAATCAGATCAGAGTAAACCGAGTGTCAGCGAGAAGTTCATTTGAGAAAAGATTCATCTTCTCGCGATATTGAAGCCTAAAATTTATCCTTAAAGGGATAGTTCACTTTGAAATTAATTTTTTATATGTTTTAGCTTACCTCAAGGGCATCCAAGATGAAGGTGTCTTTGTTTCCACAGTATTTTCAATTTTGACATTTTTTGGTCAAGCCATTGTTGTCTATCAGTCATACACTGGAGGCTAAGGGGATCAACCAAAAAGCATGCACAGAGAAGTGAAAATTAAACATGATTTAATGACTCGTAAATGTAAGTACACATTGATGGCCTAAGACACGAAACGAGCGTTTTTTGTGAGAAAACGAACAGCATTTATATTGTTTTTACCTCGTATAATCACAGTGACGTCCAAGTAATCTGAATCAGTTGTGCAATGTCCAACTGAACCGAACTGAATCAGTTCAATGTTACGCCGGAAGTGATCGCTTGCGTGTGACGTCACTCAATATTTACACAGAGATTTCGGAAGTTTTACCTTTTACTAAACATATTTAGATATACCGAAATTGTCTTTCATTGCGGTTTCACGTATATCTAAATGTTTAATGAAAGGTAAAACTTCCGAAATCTCTGTGTAAACAAAGAGTGATGTGGGCGCGCAAGCGATCACTTCCGGCGCATGCGCAGACCGAAGCACCCGTGCCGTCAGATCATTTTGTCATGGCTATGATTACAAGAGGTAAAAACGATATAAATACTGTTCGTTTTCTCACACAAACCGCTCGTTTCGTGTCTTAGGCCATCAATGTGTACTTACATTTATGAGTCATTAAATCATGTTTAATTTTGACTTCTCTGTGCATGCTTTTTGGTGGACCCCCTTAGCCTCCAGTGTATGACTGATAGACAACAACGGTTTGACTGAAAAATGTCAAAATTGAAAATGCTGTGAAAACAAAGACACCTACACCTTGGATGTCCTTAAGGGAAGGTAAAACATATAAAAAAATTAATTTCAAAGTGAACTATCCCTTTAATTTTGTATTCATTGTCAATGCAGTGCAGCAGCTAGCAGACCTAGAGCTATCTAGCGGTCTAGCGTGCTCATAGGCTGCTCTGCAGGAACTGCACAGCCTACCAGTGAGCCCGACATGACGTTACATCCAATCAAGGGCGCTCGCGCCCTAACTTCATCCTAGCCTGCCAGAAAAGGCGTGGTTTAGCCTATATAAGCAGGGCTCGGAGGCTGTTTCTCTGGTTTTCATCGACTGAAGCGAAAATAGCGCTTTTGCCGTGAGCACGGCAGGTTACTGGGGTGGCACGGTTCACATAACCCACAGTTCGGTTTGTATCACGGTTTTAGGGTCACGGTTTTCGGTTCTGTATGGTGCTTGTTGTTATTAGAGCCCGAGCACTAACTGTGCGAGGCCCTATTGAAACTGTTAGGGTTATTTTTAGGGCCCGAGCACTTACAGTGCGAGGACCCTATTAAAAACTGTTAGGGAATCCATTTTCGGGGCCGCAACATGCTCAAAAACTCACCAAATTTGGCACGCATTTCAGGACTTTTGAAAAATTTCGTATTTTGTGGGTTTCTCGGATGGGCGGGGCAAAAGGGCTCGCTAGCGCCACCTAGAAAATTGGAAAAAATTAGCCCCTCGTCCACGTTCAACCTACATGCACGAAATTTGGTGGGGATGTGTATCATTTCAAGACGCACAAAAAAGCCTCAAGAACTCATACCCTAAACTCTACAGGAAGTCCGCCAAATCGTCCCAAGACCGATTTGGGACGATTTACACACTCCATACTTTAACGAACTCCTCCTAGGGATTTAGTTGGATCGACTTCAAATTTCTGCTCTGCCTTCTAAAGGCATTGACAATGTAAAGTTGTGCTATCTGTGCGTTTTGTCCATGGGTGTGTCCGTGGCATCGAAGAATCGCCATGAAACAGGAAGTTTTAGTAACTTGGCTGTAAATGCCCAGATCTGCACGAAATTTTACACATTTGACAAGAGTCCTGCCCT